GAGATAATAAACATAAAACATTCAGGTCAATCAGTCATAGATACAGAACAGAGATCACATATCACATGGCAAAGAAACATACAGGTACAGCACTTTCCCTATTGCACCTATGCATAGTGTCCGTCAGATTGCACATATCCCTATTGTGTCCATACCTATTTACACATAATGCACTTCCCCTATTTAACCTTCTCGATTACACAAACTACTCTGTAAACATTGCACCTCTCAACAACTCCTAACAGCATAATCACAATTGTTCCTGACTGTTCAGCAGCTTGATTGACAGCAGAACAAAGGAAAACTTATACCTGTTCAATCTATAGTTTGGTAATCTATACCTTCTGCAACTCAAACTCTCTATACAGGATGTGTTTGGGGGCGCATGTGATTTTACGGCCTTGCTTTCTCACCAGTTTGAGTGGGCCCGAGGGCAGAAGGTACAGATTACCACACCAGGTTGTGCGCCTCACACCACTTCACGACCTCTTCAATCTCAAGTTTATACATAGAAATGTCTGAGTCTCTAGTCAGTAGACTAAGTATGGCTGTGTCATCAGAACACTTTATGATGTGGTTGTGTGTGTGCTGACTCCTACACTCATTTGTGTAGCGTGTGAAGAGAAGAGGAGAGCTAACGCAGCCTTGTGGCGCCCCTGTGCTTAAGACCTGTGTGTCAGAGAGGGTCGAGTTCACTTTCACCTGCTGCTGTCTTTCAGTTAGGAAGGAGTGATACCATCTGATTAAGTAAGGGTTCACATCCATCTGTTTGAGCTTCTTTAACATCATTTGGGGAAGAATAGTATTAAAAGCTGAGCTAAAGTCCATGCACATTAATCTAGCATAAGCTAAAGGATCTTCCAGGTGTTTTAGAATAAAGTGAGTTGTAGAGGTCAGAGCATCATCTGTACCTCTACCATCGCTGTACGCAAACTGGTAGGGGTCCAAGAGGTGTTGCACCTCAGTTCGCAAGTTCCCTACAATAATCCGTTCTAGTGACTTCATAACTATTGAGGTCAAAGCCACTGGTCTGAAGTCGTTGTTGTCAAGTGGGCATGCTTTTTTTGCAACTGGTATGATGACAGCTTTCTTCCATATTTGAGGGATGCTTCCCGAGTCAGCATGCAGAGAGCTGGAAAAATGGACCTCGCTGCAGGCTATAGTAACCATTAAAGTAACCATTAAAGTAACCCTTACATTACCATTAAAGTAACCCTTAAAGTAACCCTTAAGTAACCCTTAAGTAACCCTTAAGTAAATGTATAATTACATGTTACTCATAGATAGATTTCCTGAACAAACTGAGTGTGAATTTTTCTTCAACCTCAGCCCGGGTTTTCACACTTATATTTTTTATTAGATTTATAAGAGGAAGTCTGAACCTGTTTGGATCGTACCAAATGAAATCTTGATTTGCTGCCCTGTTGATTTGGAATAGTACAAATATATACGGGAGAGGGGTGGGGGGGTTATATTCTCCAAACTTTCATTGTTAATCCCTCATCACATCCAGTCAGTCCCGTCCCCCCCTCCAGTGAAGAATGGTTTGGCCCAAAATAAACCTTCCTTATTAACATATTATAAAAGTGTGTCTTATATAAAATAAATACATTTAAATAAGAGTTAAATAAAGGGAAATTATTAATTAAATAAATGGGAGTAAAGATTATGATCTTTGTTAAATTGAATGGTATTTTATTTTGTATCATTTGTCAGCTTCAGGCTTGGTGTTTTTGAAAATGTCCGAATTTTGAGGAAAAAGTCAGAATTTGACATTTTGAGGAAAGCTGTCATCACAGATTAAAAATATCTGACTGCAGGAACCTTGGTGATTTTGGTGAACTGAGTTGAGTTGAGAGACACTTTCCTAAAGTACTCATGTTGTTAAGAAGAAGGACGTCTCCGACTGAAAGGTCTGCTTGGAGACCAGGGGACACTAAAGAGTGACGCACACAGCAGGGAGACCAGGGGTGTTTCTCAATGTCGAGGACGCTTCCTTGGTGGGACATGTCTTCTGAGTCAGATCCATCAGAGGCTAGGCAAGAATCCTTCCTGGCATTCAGAGAACGAAGAATGGAACAGGCTAGCAAGTGTGCAAGTGTGCGTCATATGAGAGGCCCCGCCTTACATTTTCCGCCAAAGATTTTGGAGATTGTTCCATTCGCAAAGCATTGTGGGGATTTTAAAACCGCGGAGGATACACTGGTGCATCATCGAAATGTCCCGCAATAAAGGACGCCGGCCTCGGTAGAATTCCAAAGATCCTGGACATTGGCACAGTCCTTCGGCGCGACTCGATGATGTAGCATATTTTTTCCTGGTGTAGTGTTGGTGTGTACATTACATTACATTTAGCTGACGCTTTTATCTAAAGCGACTTACAATTACCGATTAGGTAGGAGTAACTAAGGGCTAAGTGCCTTACTCAAGGGCACACTAGTGGTGGTGTTCCTGGTGGGATTTGAACTCACAACCTTGCGATCTTCAGCCCACCTCACTATCCATTAGAAACTCTTAGTTTTGCTTGATTCTGAGAAAGTGATTCTTTATCTTTATGAAACAAAACTAATCCCGTAGATTGTTTGCTCGTCGCGGCTAAACAAATACATTTTAAAAAGTCCAACGCACCGAACATTTTCAATATGATAAATAATGTATTTACTGTGTGCGTGTTTCCCAGCTGCAGGTTTCTTCTTCTTGGTCACTGCTCCTGAGTCAGTTTGTTTGCTCGTCGCGGCTAAACACATGCATTAAAAAAAGTTTAACGCACTGAAAATGATAATAATAATAATAATAATAATAATAATAATAATATATGTGACCCGCTCTATCGAAATCAGTCGGAAGTCGCAATGGCTAATTTCAAAATAAATGTGGATTTTCGTAAAAAAATAGTTTTTCGGGGTTCGGGTGTTTTGTTTGATTTTAAACAAACAAAGTCTTGGCTTTCAGAATATGAAACTTTTATTTCCAAAATCACACGATAAATACATGTTTGAAGCTTGTGAAGGGAAGATGACAGCTCTCCCTCGCCACTCTGCTCCTTCCGGCTGACATTATGAATGCAACCCCTAGATTCCACCGGGTCCGTCTGCGGCGGGTTACGGCTGCGCCGCGGTGCTCACGGCGATCGCGGCGATCGCGGCCACTCTAGTCAATGGGTGCTATTCCACCACACGCGGCGCGTTAAGGCTCAGAAGCGTCCCAGAAGCGACTCGGCGCAGGGCTGCACTACAATTAGGATGAATCCTATTTTTGTCGCGCCTCAGCCGTAACTTAGGCAGGAAGTGGAATGTTCAGAGCATATATAGAATATATATACACACACACAAACTAATTTTGCAGACCCTATCCTCCGTAGTCTTTCCAGTAGGAGGAGAAATGCCAGCGTTCTCCTCCGGTTTACAGGCACTGTGTAAATTATATATATATAATAATTATGATGATTTTACCACTAAAATACAGCAACACATCTTTGATTCATGTCGTTTATAACTGGGATATTACAATTATTATTAACTTTGTCTGCACAAAGTAGCCTGTCCAGGAAATATGCCCAAACCAACTAAATCTGCGAGCTGGCAAGACGCTCCGCTTCTGAAATGCTTCTGAAACGAGCCCGGTAGGGTATGACGCCGGAGGAGACCAGACCAAAACCGCGGCGCAGCCGTTACGCGACGCAGACGGACCCGGTGGAATCGAGGGGTTAGGCGTAAAGTAATCAGATAACACGGCAGAGTTCGTTACAGTTTGTTTTCATCTGATTTCAATTAAACAAAGTCTTGGCTTTCAGAATATTAAACTTGTTTCAGCAAATTCAGATGATAAATACAACGTTGAAGCTTCGGCATAATTACAAGCGGAGAACGGAGTAACTTAACGTCACAGCAGGCGAAACAACAGTCGTTGTTTCTCGTGAGGGGTTTCCCCGGGAAACAAACACAATACACACAAACGCAAACATACACAAAGACACACACACATACACATACACATACACACACACACACACACACACACACACACACTCGCGAGTTTTCCCCAGACCAGTAATGATCATTTGCTAATAACCAATCAGATCGATGGATTCCAGAGAAGAGGAAACTTTGAAGGCCTTTTTCTCAACATGATGACTCGGTGACAGTCATTGTATAATATTTGGAGTACAAAAACAATCCTGATATCATTAGAAAGCTAGGAATCTCCTCTTTCCAACAGCGTATACAACTCAAAATGTGTCTTCGGGTCAATGCGACTGATTTCGATAGAGCAGGTAAAATGTTATAGAGCCATATCTATACAAAACATGTCTCTGAAGTGTTTTGCTCAAATACCAAACAGATCATTCCAGCCTCATTCCCCTCTATTGATGATTCTGGCCCTTTAAATGTAACCGAGCTGCTGCTGGCCACGCCCCTTTGGAGCTGCCGATGGCCACGCCCCCTTGGAGCTACTGATGGCCACGCCCCTTTGGAGCGTCCGCATTCAAGCAGTGATCTCTGTGAAGAGAAGGCTGTCTCCCAGCAGAAACTCAGCTAAACGCTGCCGTGATGAAACTCCATATCACGTTCCAAACCACATCAAGGACTATTTCTGAAACAGGATGGAGCTCAAAGTCTTTCTCTGTCGTGGGTTTACGTATACGGAAACCTATACGAAAATGTGTACTGAAACATGTTTAGAAAACGTGTACGGAATCCGGTACGGAAACTGGTACAGAAGCGTAACGTGTACGGAAAACGCGTCCGGAAACTTGTCCGGAAAAGTGTATGGAAACGTGTACTGATATGTGAACGGAAGAGTTATGTGTTTCATATAAATCAAATACAAAATGCAATGTTTGTTTAACAGTGTGTTCCAGGGTCTGCTCTGGTTCTGTTTTCTGTCTTATAAGTTATTTAAATAAAGAATAATTTAAAACGTTTCTAGAAGGACACGCCCCCCGCTGAGCTGACCAGGATTTATTTCTACATGTATTTATTTTTATTTTTATTTCTGACCTTGGTTTTGCTCCTTGAATTTCTCCAGCTCGTCCTTCATGTCTCTGAGCGGCTGCTGCACGGCGGCGTCCTGCCTGGGCAGCTTGTCCATCAGGTCGTCGATGAGTTCGATGGATTCCTCGGTGCCGTAGTACTGGATGATGAGGCTGGTTATCTCTTCCCGCGGCCGCCCCTCCCTCTTCCCCTGAGGGATCTCCTCCAGGTTGGACACAAGTTTTCGAAATTGTTCCACCGTCAGCTCGTCCAGGATGGAGCTCAGCACCGTCCTCCACTCTGTCTCCAATTCTCTCAGGTCCATCTGAGCACAAACAGGAGGAGGTGGGAGGTAACTAAGTACATGTATTCAAGTACTTTACATAAGAACAACTTTGAGGTACTTGTACTCCACTACATATATTTAATACACTGTAAAAAAAGATCCTAATTTTACAGGAAATAACTGTAAATTTTTATAGTAATTATCATGTTTTTTTAAATAACTTGCAAAATTATGTAAAATGACAGATATTAACTATAAATTAACAACCCAAAACATTATTTTAAGTATTTTGACAATAACTACAAATAACATTTGTTTCATTTTTTTTAAGTAAATGTACTATATAATATTTACAGTATTTTTGCACTTTCAGAAAATACATGCATGTTGTGCCAAAAGTGTTAGTCAGTCATGTTTCATGTTGTTATTCTTGTATTGTCTTTCACTTCCTGTTTTGTCTTGTCACTCATTTGTCACGTCTCATTTCAGGTTCCTTGAATGCCTTTCCTAATGTATTCTCCCGCTCTCATCAGCCCCGCCCCTGATTGTTTTCACCTGTGCCCAGTTATCTCCTGTTTATATTCCCCTGTTTCCCTCTGTTTGTTGTCAGTTTGTCTTCCGCCCTCATGCCAGAACTCTGCTCATCCACGATTGCTAATCTTGTCACTTGCTTAAATGATGCTCCTGAAACTCTGTCGTAAGTTTCTGTCCTCACGTTGTGAGTGATTTACGTTAAGCCTTTTTTGTCGCCTCTATTAAGAGTGTTGTTTTCTTTTTGTACTTCCTTTTTTGGCAAATAAAGTATATTAATTATACTTTAGCTCTGGCTCCCGGGTCGTGCATTTGAGTCCTTATCCTTGTGTAACCAAGTTCTTAACAGAACGAACTGACCACAATGGACTCAGCCGACCCAAAAACTCTTCACGCCGCCCTGTCAGCCCAAGGCGTAAGAATCTTTCATCACGAGGAACAGCTGGGATTAATCAGCCAAGGAGTGCAGGCACTGGTAGGAAACCAGGCCGAGCTCCAAGTTTCCATCTCTGCACAGATACGACAGCTGACGGATCAGATGCAGCAGTTCATCACTCACCTTCAGACTGCTCCGCCGATGACGTCAGTCACAGCTGACCGCTTTCATGTCGCGGATCCTGTTGACGCTGTCAATCCGAGCCAGGCTGTTTCCTCCTCACTACGGCTGGCTCTCCCAGAGAGTTTCTCCGGAGATTCCATAAATTGCAGAGCTTTCGTGGTTCAGTGCGATCTGCATTTCCGACACTGAGCTATGTTACTCATTAACCGACTTTATAGACACTATGAGTCTATATTTTTTTACCACTCATCACCTGCTACAGAAGCTAGCCGAAGGCTACTTCAGATGCACCAGCATAATCGCCAGGTAGTGGATTATGCTATCGTGTTTCGTACGGCAGCAGCGGGCAGCTGGCGGAATGTTCCGGCTCTTCGCGACGCTTTTCTGACGGGGCTGTCAGATCCAATCAAGGACCAGCTGGCTCCTCTGGAGGTACCATGGGACCTGGAGTCTCTCATCGCCGTTTCCATCTGGATCGACAACCGACTTCGAGAAAGAGAGAGAGAACGTCAACGCAACCGTGACAGACATTCCAGTTTCCAGGGCTTTTCTCAGCAAGCCGTTCCACCAGAGGAGGTTTTCCAGCCAGCAGATTCGGCCCGTTGGAGGACAGCACCTCCGTCTGTTGCAGATGAACCCATGCAGTTGGGAAGGACCAAGCTTTCCGTGGAGGAACGACAACGCCGGCTACGAGAAATGTGTTGCTTCTACTGTGGCCAGCCGGGTCACCAACGTGCTTCATGTCCAGGAAAAGAGCAAGCTTACCAGCCAAGAGGAGGGCGCTGGTGAGCAAGCTTCCCACAGACTTTCCTCCTCGACCAGTTACGAAGGTAAACATTTTTATTAATGATCAGGTCATTGACCAAGGGGTGCTAATAGACTCGGGAGCGGATGAAAGTCTTATGGATTGGGGCATAGTCAAACAGCTTGGTATAAAAACTGTTCCTCTATCCCGCCCCATTAACGCCAGTGCTTTAGACGTTACAGTAACCCACTGCACAGAACCTATCCAGATTACTGTGGATAATAATCATACTGAAACTATGCAGTTTCACATTTTTGAATCTGCTCAGCCTCAGATTATTCTGGGTTTTCCGTGGCTAAAGATCCACACCCCACACATTGACTGGCGCTCAGGAAAAATTAAGGAGTGGGGAGAGGATTGCATTAACAGGTGTAAACATTCACGCTCTGTTAAAGCACCAACAGGATCATCATAGATCACCCAGACTATCCTGACCTACAGAAAGTACCATCATGTTATCACGATCTAAAGGAAGCCTTTAACAAGTCTACAACTACATCTACAAAACCATCGGTTTGTTTTGTCATCAGCCCGGCTCAAACAAACGATTTTTAATCATCATCCTCACGATCATTTAACCTGTTAGACCCCAAGCCTGTTTTTCAGGTCTCAGGCTCCAAAATGACATTCCCTTGACTCGCGCGTCCACCCTTGTGTACAAGTCCTAGATCGTGCCTGAAGACCGTCCAAAAGCGATAACTAGCCTATCCTCTTGCGACACCACTACTCTATTCTAGTGGCGCTATGATCCCCCGACCAGGAGAACATAGACTTTTTTCCGCTACCCTTTCTCTCCAACAACAGCACAGTTAACTGTAGTCCTACTCGACCAGCCTATACACCCGCCATCGTGTTCATCACAACGATGAAACACAGCTTTGTTCTACACTTGCTTGCCACTGCCCACCCGTGATCAATTAGCCTATAATTGTTTGTATGCACCCCGGACCGCCACCAGTTCCTCCAGCAACGTAGGGAACGCTCCTCCACTTTACTGATATATTTCTTTAACCAGTTTAGCCCTGAGCCTGTGTTTCAGGTCTCAGGCTCGAAAATGACATTCCCAGAACAAATGACCATGATCTTCTAAAAGGGTTAAATGAATAATCTTTTTTCTCAAAGTAATGATAAACCTGTGAGTTGGATGTAGAAAAGTCAGAATCAATATAGATGTTTTTTATTTTAAAGAAAATTCAGATTCCTTCCTTCGATTCTATTGGCTCTACGGTCAGAAAGAGATGTCAATCACCAACATCGACCAATGGGTTCCAGAGAAACGGTAAAAACCCCCATTTCCACCCAAATCACCTCAGAGGTGGAGTTGTTTTGCTAAATCTCTCTAAAAAGGTAAAACGTCACTTGTTTTGCATCAATCTCGATACAGGGCACTTATTATATGTTGTACTTTGGATTCCTAAAGCTTTTAGTCTACCTTACCATCATCCAAGGGTGGTTTTCACTATAAGTACAAAATAATATTTGGACGGACACAATCATTGACAGTTTTTTACTGTGTTCAATCTGAATTTACTTTAAAATAAAAACATCTATATTGATTCTGACTTTTCTGCATCCAACTCACAGGTCTATCATTACTTTGAGAAAAAGATTATTAATGTAACCCTTTTAGAAGGGAAGTTGTGGTCATTTGTTCTGGGGATGTCATTTTCGAGCCTGAGACCTGAAACACAGGCTCAGGGCTTAACAGGTTAAGGTATTTGATTGTAACATTTTAAGACAATGGATTTTGAAAAGAGAGGAACCATCTGTAACATTACAGTGTTTTCCTGTAAAATCTTAAAGGACAATTCCTGTATATCAATTGCTTTTGCACTTTATTTCACTTAAAGTATTTGACTTTAATTCTATGGTTTTTGTTTTGCAGCCGCTGCTGCCAGTCATTTGACCGTTTTTTAACGTTTTTTTTTGCCCGTAGGAGTATTAGTGCTGTACTTTTATTAGAGGTTATTGACCTTAAAAAGAGCAGATCAATCTGTAAAATGACAGTTTTTCCCGTAAATGAATTGCTTTTCCCTTTATTTCAGTTACTTTAATGGTTTTTGTTTGGCAGCCGCTGCTGCCAGTACTTTGACCGTTTTTTTATGATTTTTTTTTTTACAGTGTAAAAACGGTATACTTCACAGATGTGGATGAATGATGTGAAATCTAACCAAGTGTTGAATCAGACTTTAGTTCCACCTGGAGTAAATCCACCAGCTACCCTGCAGTATACAAAGTACTTCAAACTAGCTGCACCTTCACCAGCTTTGAGAACACTTTCATGATCAATCATTATAAAACATATCATATATATTATTCTGAAATGGACCAATCTGCACAACGAATACTTTTACTGTCTTTCACTATATTTAGATGAGAATACTTTTCTACTTTCACTTGAGGAACATTTTGAATGCAGGACTTTTACTGTACTCAGATCTTGTTCTTGAGTAAAAGTAGAAGTACCAGAGTGTAGGTATACTCTGTTACTTCTACTTTGACTCAAGTACACAATCTCAGTACTTCTACTTTTACTCAATCTGAGTACTTCTACTTTACTCAAGTACAAGATCTGAGTACTTCTACTTTTTACTGTAACAGAGTATTCCTACAGAAAATCAGAATCAGAAACGGGTTTATTGCCAGGTAGGTTCACACGTACGAGGAATTTGACTTGATGTCATGGTGCATACATAAAATATAAAACAAAAAATCTCTGGTACTTCTACTTTTACTCAAGTACAAGATCTGCATTGTATTTATAGAGCGTTAGTAGTAGTGTACTAACCCTAACCTCTCAGGATATATTTTTTCTTTTCTTTTCCCATTTTTTCAATACTGATAGGATTCATGGTTTCCACCGAACAGGAGGAGATTTACCTCTGAAGTGAAGTACAGTTTAAAGTAGCAGGGAATACTAAAACACCTTAAAGTAACCCTTAAAGTAACCCTTAAGTAAAAATCATAATTACATGTTACTCACAGATAGATTTTCGGAACAAACTGAGAGTGAACTTACTGCGTCTCTTCCTTCAACCTCAGCCCGGGTTTTCACACTTGGTAGATTTTTTAATCAGATTTATAGAGAGGAAGTCAGAGGAGAAGGAAGTCAGAACCTGTTTGGATCGTACCAACTGAAATCTTGATTTTCTGTCAAGTTGGAACAGTACAAATATGTAAGGGAGTCCCCCCCTCCAGTGAAGAACGGTTTGGTTTATAGTTTCCATCCAAAAAAACATTACTTATACTGAAACCCACCGTTGAATGATGGGATAGTAGACAAAAAGCTTTAGGAATCCAAACTATAACATATAATAAGTACCCTGTATCAAGATTGATGCCAATCAAGAGACATTTTACCTATTTAGAGAGATTTACTGACAGTCAGGTACCTTGGTGATTTTGGTGAACTGAGTTGAGTTGAGAGACACTTTCCTAAAGTACTCATTGGGCTTCATGTTGTTAACGTCTCCGACTGAAAGCTCTTTGCTCTGCTTGGAGACCAGGGGAAAGTAAAAAGTGACGCACACAGCTGGGAGACCAGGGGACACTAAAGAGTGACGCACACAGCTGGGAGACCAGGGGACACTAAAGGATGACGCACACAGCTTGGAGACCAGGGGACACTAAAGAGTGACGCACACAGCTTGGAGACCAGGGGACACTAAAGAGTGACACACACAGCTTGGAGACCAGGGGACACTAAAGAGTGACGCACACAGCTGGAGACCAGGGGACACTAAAGAGTGACACACACAGCTTGGAGACCAGGGGACACTAAAGAGTGACGCACACAGCTTGGAGACCAGGGGACACTAAAGAGTGACACACACAGCTTGGAGACCAGGGGACACTAAAGAGTGACGCACACAGCTGGAGACCAGGGGACACTAAAGAGTGACGCACACAGCTGGGAGACCAGGGGACACTAAAGAGTGACACACACAGCTGGGAGACCAGGGGACACTAAATAGTGACGCACACAGCTGGGAGACCAGGGGACACTAAAGAGTGACGCACACAGCTGGAGACCAGGGGACACTAAAGAGTGACGCACACAGCTGGGAGACCAGGGGACACTAAAGAGTGACGCACACAGCTGGGAGACCAGGGGACACTAAAGAGTGACGCACACAGCTGGGAGACCAGGGGACACTAAAGAGTGACGCACACAACTGGAGACCAGGGGACACTAAAGAGTGACACACACAGCTGGGAGACAAGGGGACACTAAAGAGTGACGCACACAGCTGGGACTGGAGCGCTTGGTGACGTTCAGGATTATAAAGCTGAATTGGTTATTTAGCTGAACTTTCTGCTAATAGCGCAAAGTCGCCATCAAAATAAAAGCATGTTCATATACAACAGGAAGTTACATTAAGATATGAATACAATCGCAATGAAAGCAACAAAAACAACTCCTTTTCAGATTCAAATTGAACACAGTAAAAAATGTAAATGATTGTGCCTGTCCAAAAAAAAAACATTACTTATAGTGAAAACCACCCTTGGATGATGGGGTAGTAGACTAAAAGCTTTAGGAATCCAAACTATAACATATAATAAGTACCCTGTATCAAGATTGATGCAAAACAAGAGACATTTGACCTTTTTAGAGAGGTTTAGCACAAAGAAACACTACTGGGGTCATTTTGGGTGCATTTTCCATATCTCTGGAACCCATCGGTCGATTTTGATGATTGACATCTCTTTTGAACCGTTAGACCCAATAGAATCGAGGGGAAGTTCCTAAATCCATCTAAACATTACCCATTGGTGAATGAGAGTGATGCGCAGCCAGCATGCCCAAAACCAGAAGCTCTCATACACTCTATATGAAAAATACGATTATTGCCATTAATATGGATATGGATTAGAAGAGGGCCACACTGGCTGATGGATGATGTATGGAGGTGGCTCCTCTTCTATACCTCCTCCTCCTCGTCGTCCTCCTCTTCTCCCTCCTCCTTGTGTAGCGGAACACGCTCACCCCCTGGAGGACAGAATTAGACTGGCGTTAGAAATAGGAATGGTAATTTGAAAGCAAATTTAGATTCGAATATTCGACCCCCAAAAAAAGGTTAACCGAATTTACATATAATATAAAAGTTTTTGTGTTTTTGTTTTAATGTTTAAAAGAATACAAAAAATACAAAAGCTTTAATAACAAATACATTTTCAAATAAATATAGAAACCAAAACAAGTTTTCTTTGATATTTTTCTTAAAGGGGACCTATCATGCTATATTGAAACATGTATTGTAGGGCCATACCTATACAAAACATGTCTGTGAAGTGTTTTGCTTAAAATACCAAAGAGATCACCCATTGTAGCAATAGATATATATATAAACACTAGATGACTCGCCCGCGCTGCTGGCCAATGGATACCGACGTTGCCACATGGCGGCCATCTTGCCACAGGCAGCTCGCTCATTCATAACATTATGGCTATGGTGCTCTATTGAAATAACCGTATATTGCTCAATTTTCAACCCATTTTCAAACGGTTTGGTTCGTTATAAACATCAAATATGTAGTTCTGATACTGCATACTTATAATTATAGTCATGAACTTGTTTTTTTCAACATGTCTTGTTGTCTCCTGTATCATAGCCATGCTAATAACGTTTATAATAAACCAAACCGTTTGTAAATCAGTCAAGATTTCAGCGAGTTAAGAGCATTTCTGTGCAGATCCCTCACCTCACAACAGCTGTAGCAGTAGTTGACTGTGGCAAGATGGCCGCCAGTGAGTTACGCTGGCGACTCCCCCTTGAGCCATCTAGTGTTTATATATATATCTATGATTGTAGCCACGCCTCATACTGCTCAAACCCCTCTTTTGAAGCCCTGTTAGAGAAACGCGGATTTTGGGTCCTTAGCTTGAAAATAAATAAATAAGAGGAGGCGGAGCTAATGCCTGATCAGAATTCTACCGGAGATAAAGTAAAATTCTGCTGTGATAAAACGCCAACCTGTTTAAACCACATCAAGGATTATTTCTGAGACAGTACGGAGCTCAAATGCTTTTCCTCTTGCGGGTTTATCACAAGGTGAGTTCCTTTTTATTTCCTGCTTTTTAAACACGTGCTCTCCAGTACAGGTTAGCTCGGAGTGTTAGCGAGGCTCGCTAATGTGAACAAAGAGGAGATTACGTCCAAAACACGTCAGGCATTGTGTCTGACAGCAACACTCTGTCGGTCCGCCGCCGATTTGACGTCATATCGGCAACAAATCTGTATCCGCTCGTTGTACCTCCGTTTTTAAAAGATTTGAGTACGGAGGAAGAGAGAGAGGGTTTTATTTTCTGACGCTGCGTGAGTTCCCCGACTCACCGGGGACACATGTTGATGTATACAAGACATCACAAAGTGTATTTTGCATGATAGGTCCCCTTTAAGATATTTTAAATGTCTTATACATTTAGTTAATCCTTTTGATAATATGTAATCAATTTAGGCACCCCTCCCATCAAAATAAAATAAATATTCATAACTCATATTCGAATGGCTGAATCTTTTCGAATAATCTTTCCCATCCCTCGTTAGAAACACCTCCCTCTTCATTGAGCTGTTTGTATCCATGAAGATACAAACTTCAAACAGCAAGAAACAGCAGGTTTTAATAGGCCAAACCATTTTAAGTGCTACTGCATTGGCTCGATATTAGATTAGATTAGATAGAGCTTTATTGTCTCCCTTAGGAGAAATGTGTCTTGGGCATCGAGATAATAAACATAAAACATTCAGGTCAATCAGTCATAGATACAGAACAGAGATCACATATCACATGGCAAAGAAACATACAGGTACAGCACTTTCCCTATTGCACCTATGCATAGTGTCCATCAGATTGCACATATCCCTATTGTGTCCATACCTATTTACACATAATGCACTTCCCCTATTTAACCTTCTCGATTACACAAACTACTCTGTAAACATTGCACCTCTCAACAACTCCTAACAGCATAATCACAATTGTTCCTGACTGTTCAGCAGCTTGATTGACAGCAGAACAAAGGAAAATGTATACCTGTTCAATCTATAGTTTGGTAATCTATACCTTCTGCAACTCAAACTCTCTATACAGGATGTGTTTGGGGGCGCATGTGATTTTACGGCCTTGCTTTCTCACCAGTTTGAGTGGGCCCGAGGGCAGAAGGTACAGATTACCACACCAGGTTGTGCGCCTCACACCACTTCACGACCTCTTCAATCTCAAGTTTATACATAGAAATGTCTGAGTCTCTAGTCAGTAGACTAAGTATGGCTGTGTCATCAGAACACTTTATGATGTGGTTGTGTGTGTGCTGACTCCTACACTCATTTGTGTAGAGTGTGAAGAGAAGAGGAGAGCTAACGCAGCCTTGTGGCGCCCCTGTGCTTAAGACCTGTGTGTCAGAGAGGGTCGAGTTCACTTTCACCTGCTGCTGTCTTTCAGTTAGGAAGGAGTGATACCATCTGATTAAGTAAGGGTTCACATCCATCTGTTTGAGCTTCTTTAACATCATTTGGGGAAGAATAGTATTAAAAGCTGAGCTAAAGTCCATGAACATTAATCTAGCATAAGCTAAAGGATCTTCCAGGTGTTTTAGAATAAAGTGAGTTGTAGAGGTCAGAGCATCATCTGTACCTCTACCATCGCTGTACGCAAATTGGTAGGGGTCCAAGAGGTGTTGCACCTCAGTTCGCAAGTTCCCTACAATAATCCGTTCTAGTGACTTCATAACTATTGAGGTCAAAGCCACTGGTCTGAAGTCGTTGTTGTCAAGTGGGCATGCTTTTTTTGCAACTGGTATGATGACAGCTTTCTTCCATATTTGAGGGATGCTTCCCGAGTCAGCATGCAGAGAGCTGGAAAAATGGACCTCGCTGCAGGCTATAGTAACCATTAAAGTAACTATTAAAGTAACCCTTACATTACCATTAAAGTAACCCTTAAAGTAACCCTTAAGTAACCCTTAAGTAACCCTTAAGTAAATGTATAATTACATGTTACTCATAGATAGATTTCCTGAACAAACTGAGTGTGAATTTACTGCGTCTCTTCCTTCAACCTCAGCCCGGGTTTTCACACTTATATTTTTTATTAGATTTATAAGAGGAAGTCTGAACCTGTTTGGATCGTACCAAATGAAATCTTGATTTGCTGCCCTGTTGATTTGGAATAGTACAAATATATACGGGAGAGGGGTGGGGGGGTTATATTCTCCAAACTTTCATTGTTAATCCCTCATCACATCCAGTCAGTCCCGTCCCCCCCTCCAGTGAAGAATGGTTTGGCCCAAAATAAACCTTCCTTATTAACATATTATAAAAGTGTGTCTTATATAAAATAAATACATTTAAATAAGAGTTAAATAAAGGGAAATTATTAATTAAATAAATGGGAGTAAAGATTATGATCTTTGTTAAATTGAATGGTATTTTATTTTGTATCATTTGTCAGCTTCAGGCTTGGTGTTTTTGAAAAAGTCCGAATTTTGAGGAAAAAGTCAGAATTTGACATTTTGAGGAAAGCTGTCATCACAGATTAAAAATATCTGACTGCAGGAACCTTGGTGATTTTGGTGAACTGAGTTGAGTTTTGGTTCAAAAGACCTCATGAAAGACGATACAAGAAGTGAGGATACCCGGCCCGGAGGAAGCCCGGGGTCCCCTTCTGGAGCCAGGCCCAGAAGGAGGACTCGTCGGCGAGCGTCTGGTGGCCGGGCTTGCCACGGAGCCCGGCCGGGCCCAGCCCGAAAAGGCAACGTGGGCAACACCTCCGCTTCTCCGTCCCGCGGGCCCACCACCTACGGGAAACATCAATGGGGTCGGGTGCGCTGCCAGAAGGGTGGCAGTGAAAGCGGAGGGTCTCGACGGACCAGACCCGGGCGACAGAAGCTGGCTTTGGGGACGTGGAACGTCACCTCTCTGGGGGGGAAGGAGCCGGAGCTTGTGCGGGAGGTGGAGCGTTACCAGTTGGATCTGGTTGGGCTCACCTCTACGCACAGCGTCGGCTCTGGAACCTTACTTCTGGATAGGGGTTGGACTCTATTCTTCTCCGGAGTTGCTCAAGGTGTGAGGCGCCGGGCGGGTGTGGGGATACTCACAAGTCCCCGGTTAGGTGCTTCGTTGTTGGAGTTTACCCCAGTGGACGAGAGGGTCGCCTCCCTACGCCTGCGGGTTATGGGGGGGAAAACTCTGACTGTTGTGTGTGCTTATGCACCCAACAGCAGTTCAGAGTATACGGCCTTCTTGGAGACCCTGGAAAGAGTCCTGTATGGGGCTCCTGAAGGGGACTCTTTAATCTTGCTGGGAGACTTCAACGCACATGTGGGCAATGATGGAGACACTTGGAGGGGCGTGATTGGGAGGAACGGCCCCCCTGATCTGAACCGGAGTGGTGGTTTGTTACTGGACTTCTGTGCTAGTCATGGATTGGCCATAACAAACACCATGTTCGAACATAAGGATGCTCATAAGTGTACGTGGTACCAGAGCACCCTAGGCAGAAGGTCCATGATCGATTTCGTTATCGTATCATCGGACCTGAGGCCGTATGTTTTGGACACTCGGGTAAAGAGAGGGGCGGAGTTGTCAACTGATCACCATCTGGTGGTGAGTTGGGTCGAGTGGCGAGGGAAGCCTCTGGATAGACCTGGTAAGCCCAAACGTGTAGTTCGGGTGAACTGGGAACGTCTGGAGGAGGCCCAAGTTCAGGAGGCCTTCAACTCACACCTCCGGCGGAGCTTTTCGGGCATTCCTGTGGAGGTTGGGGACATTGAACCAGAGTGGTCGGTGTTCAAAGCCTCTATTGCCGAAGCCGCGGCGGGGAGCTGTGGTCTCAAGGTCCTAGGTGCCTCAAGGGGCGGTAACCCTCGAACCTCCTGGTGGACACCGGTGGTCAGGGAAGCCGTCCGACTGAAGAAGGAGGCCTTCAGGGATTTGTTATCCCGGGGGACTCCCGAGGCAGTTGCAAGGTACCGACAGGCCCGAAGGGCAGCAGCCTCATCCGTGGCCGAGGCAAAGCAGCGGGTGTGGGAGAAGTTCGGAGAAGACATGGAGAAGGACTTTCGGGCGGCACCAAAGTTGTTCTGGAAAACTGTCCGACACCTCAGGAGGGGGAAGCAGGGAACCATCCAAGCTGTGTACAGTAAGGATGGGACGTTGTTGACCTCAACTGATGGAGTGTTAGGGCGTTGGAAGGAACACTTTGAGGAACTCCTGAACCCGACAACTCCGCCCTCTATGTTAGAGGCAGAGCTGGAGTATGACGGGGGATCAACACCAATCTCCCGGGGGGAGGTCACTGAGGTCGTCAAACAACTCCACAGTGGCAAAGCCCCGGGGGTGGATGAGATCCGCCCGGAAATGCTGAAGGCTCTGGGTGTTGAGGGACTGTCATGGTTGACACGTCTCATCAACGTTGCGTGGAAGTCGGAAACAGTACCGAAGGAGTGGCAGACCGGGGTGGTGGTTCCCCTATTTAAAAAGGGGGATCAGAGGGTGTGTGCCAATTACAGAGGCATCACACTACTCAGCCTCCCCGGGAAAGTTTACTCTAAGGTACTCGAAAGGAGGGTCAGGCCGATTGTCGAACCTCAGATTGAGGAGGAACAATGCGGATTCCGTCCTGGTCGTGGAACGACGGATCAGCTTTTTACTCTCGCAAGGATCCTGGAGGGGGCCTGGGAGTACGCTTATCCGGTCTACATGTGTTTTGTAGACTTGGAGAAGGCGTATGACCGAGTTCCCAGGGAGTTACTGTGGGAGGTGCTGCGGGAGTATGGGGTGAGGGGGTCTCTACTCAGGGCCATCCAATCTCTGTACTCCCAAAGCGAGAGCTGTGTCCGGGTCCTCGGCAGTAAGTCGGACCCATTTCCGGTGAGGGTTGGCCTCCGCCAGGGCTGCGCTTTGTCACCAATCCTGTTTGTAATATACATGGATCGGATTTCGAGGCGTAGTCGTGGGGGAGGGGGTCTGCAGTTCGGTGGACTAAGGATTGCACCACTGCTTTTTGCAGATGATGTGGTTCTAATGGCTTCATCGGTCTGCGACCTTCAGCACTCACTGGATCGGTTCGCAACCGAGTGTGAAGCGGCTGGGATGAGGATCAGCACCTCCAAATCTGAGGCCATGGTTCACAGCAGGAAACCGATGGACTGTCCACTCCAGGTAGGGAATGAGTCCTTACCCCAAGTGAAGGAGTTCAAGTATCTCGGGGTCTTGTTCTCGAGTGAGGGAACAATGGAGCGTGAGATGGGCCGGAGAATCGGAGCAGCGGGAGCGGTACTGCAGTCGCTTTACCGCACCGTTGTGACGAAAAGGGAGCTGAGCCAGAAGGCAAGCTCTCGGTCTTCCGGGCCATTTTCGTTCCTACCCTCACCTATGGTCATGAAGTCATGACCGAAAGAACGAGATCGCGGATACAAGCGGCCGAGATGGGTTTTCTCCGCAGGGTGGCTGGTGTCTCCCTTAGGGATAAGGTGAGAAGTTCGGTCATCAGGGAGGGACTCGGAGTTGAGCCGCTCCTCCTTCGCGTCGAAAGGAGCCAGTTGAGGTGGTTCGGGCACCTAGTTAGGATGCCACCTGGGCGCCTCCCTAGGGAGGTGTTCCAGGCACGTCCAGCTGGGAAGAGACCAAGGGGTAGACCTAGGACCAGGTGGAGGGATTATATCTCTTCGCTGGCCTGGGAGCGCCTTGGGATCCCCCAGTCAGAGCTGGTTGATGTCGCCAGGGAAAAGAAAGTTTGGGGCTCTCTGCTGGAACTGCTACCCCCGCGACCCGATCACGGATAAGCGGGAGAAGATGGATGGATGGATGGAGTTGAGTTGAGAGACACTTTCCTAAAGTACTCATGTTGTTAAGAAGAAGGACGTCTCCGACTGAAAGGTCTGCTTGGAGACCAGGGGACACTAAAGAGTGACGCACACAGCAGGGAGACAGGGGTGTTTCTCAATGTCGAGGACGCTTCCTTGGTGGGACATGACTTCTGAGTCAGATCCATCAGAGGCTAGGCAAGAATCCTTCCTGGCATTCAGAGAACGAAGAATGGAACAGGCTAGCAAGTGTGCAAGTGTGCGTCATATGAGAGGCCCCGCCTTACATTTTCCGCCAAAGATTTTGGAGATTGTTCCATTCGCAAAGCATTGTGGGGATTTTAAAACCGCGGAGGATACACTGGTGCATCATCGAAATGTCCCGCAATAAAGGACGCCGGCCTCGGTAGAATTCCAAAGATCCTGGACATTGGCACAGTCCTTCGGCGCGACTCGATGATGTAGCATATTTTTTCCTGGTGTAGTGTTGGTGTGTACATTACATTACATTTAGCTGACGCTTTTATCTAAAGCGACTTACTATTACCGATTAGGTAGGAGTAACTAAGGGCTAAGTGCCTTACTCAAGGGCACACTAGTGGTGGTGTTCCTGGTGGGATTTGAACTCACAACCTTGCGATCTTCAGCCCACCTCACTATCCATTAGAAACTCTTAGTTTTGCTTGATTCTGAGAAAGTGATTCTTTATCTTTATGAAACAAAACTAATCCCGTAGATTGTTTGCTCGTCGCGGCTAAACAAATACATTTTAAAAAGTCCAACGCACCGAACATTTTCAATATGATAAATAATGTATTTACTGTGTGCGTGTTTCCCAGCTGCAGGTTTCTTCTTCTTGGTCACTGCTCCTGAGTCAGTTTGTTTGCTCGTCGCGGCTAAACACATGCATTAAAAAAAGTTTAACGCACTGAAAATGATAATAATAATAATAATAATAATAATAATAATAATAATATATGTGACCCGCTCTATCGAAATCAGTCGGAAGTCGCAATGGCTCATTTCAAAATAAATGTGGATTTTCGTAAAAAAATAGTTTTTCGGGGTTCGGGTGTTTTGTTTGATTTTAAACAAACAAAGTCTTGGCTTTCAGAATATGAAACTTTTATTTCCAAAATCACACGATAAATACATGTTTGAAGCTTGTGAAGGGAAGATGACAGCTCTCCCTCGCCACTCTGCTCCTTCCGGCTGACATTATGAATGCAACCCCTAGATTCCACCGGGTCCGTCTGCGGCGGGTTACGGCTGCGCCGCGGTGCTCACGGCGATCGCGGCCACTCTAGTCAATGGGTGCTATTCCACCACACGCGGCGCGTTACGGCTCAGAAGCGTCCCAGAAGCGACTCGGCGCAGGGCTGCACTACAATTAGGATGAATCCTATTTTTGTCGCGCCGCAGCCGTAACTTAGGCAGGAAGTGGAATGTTCAGAGCATATATAGAATATATATACACACACACAAACTAATTTTGCAGACCCTATCCTCCGTAGTCTTTCCAGTAGGAGGAGAAATGCCAGCGTTCTCCTCCGGTTTACAGGCACTGTGTAAATTATATATATATAATAATTATGATGATTTTACCACTAAAATACAGCAACACATCTTTGATTCATGTCGTTTATAACTGGGATATTACAATTATTATTAACTTTGTCTGCACAAAGTAGCCTGTCCAGGAAATATGCCCAAACAAACAAAAACTGCGAGCTGGCAAGACGCTCCGCTTGTGAAATGCTTCTGAAACGAGCCCGGTAGGGTATGACGCCGGAGGAGACTGGACCAAAACCGCGGCGCAGCCGTTACGCGACGCAGACGGACCCGGTGGAATCGAGGGGTTAGGCGTAAAGTAATCAGATAACACGGCAGAGTTCGTTACAGTTTGTTTTCATCTGATTTCAATTAAACAAAGTCTTGGCTTTCAGAATATTAAACTTGTTTCAGCAAATTCAGATGATAAATACAACGTTGAAGCTTCAGCATAATTACAAGCGGAGAACGGAGTAACTTAACGTCACAGCAGGCGTAACAACAGCCGGTGTTTCTCGTGAGGGGTTTCCCCGGGAAACAAACACAATACACACAAACGCAAAAATACACAAAGACACACACACACACACATACACATACACACACACACACTCGCGAGTTTTCCCCAGACCAGTAATGATCATTTGCTAATAACCAATCAGATCGATGGATTCCAGAGAAGAGGAAACTTTGAAGGCCTTTTTCTCAACATGATGACTCGGTGACAGTCATTGTATAATATTTGGAGTACAAATACAATCCTGATATCATTAGAAAGCTAGGAATCTCCTCTTTCCAACAGCGTATACAACTCAAAATGTGTCATCGGGTCAATGCGACTGATTTCGATAGAGCAGGTAAAATGTTATAGAGCCATATCTATACAAAACATGTCTCTGAAGTGTTTTGCTCAAATACCAAACAGATCATTCCAGCCTCATTCCCCTCTATTGATGATTCTGGCCCTTTAAATGTAACCGAGCTGCTGCTGGCCACGCCCCTTTGGAGCTGCCGATGGCCACGCCCCCTTGGAGCTACTGATGGCCACGCCCCTTTGGAGCGTCCGCATTCAAGCAGTGATCTCTGTGAAGAGAAGGCTGTCTCCCAGCAGAAACTCAGCTAAACGCTGCCGTGATTAAACTCCATATCACGTTCCAAACCACATCAAGGACTATTTCTGAAACAGGATGGAGCTCAAAGTCTTTCTCTGTCGTGGGTTTACGTATACGGAAACCTATACGAAAATGTGTACTGAAACATGTTTAGAAAACGTGTACGGAATCCGGTACGGAAACTGGTACAGAAGCGTAACTTGTACGGAAAACGCGTCCGGAAACATGTCCGGAAAAGTGTATGGAAACGTGTACTGATATGTGAACGGAAGAGTTATGTGTTTCATATAAATCAAATACAAAATGCAATGTTTGTTTAACAATGTGTTCCAGGGTCTGCTCTGGTTCTGTTTTCTGTCTTATAAGTTATTTAAATAAAGAATAATTTAAAACGTTTCTAGAAGGACACGCCCCCCGCTGAGCTGACCAGGATTTATTTCTACATGTATTTATTTTTATTTTTATTTCTGACCTTGGTTTTGCTCCTTGAATTTCTCCAGCTCGTCCTTCATGTCTCTGAGCGGCTGCTGCACGGCGGCGTCCTGCCTGGGCAGCTTGTCCATCAGGTCGTCGATGAGTTCGATGGATTCCTCGGTGCCGTAGTACTGGATGATGAGGCTGGTTATCTCTTCCCGCGGCCGCCCCTCCCTCTTCCCCTGAGGGATCTCCTCCAGGTTGGACACAAGTTTCCGAAATTGTTCCTCCGTCAGCTCTTCCAGGATGGAGCTCAGCACCGTCCTCCACTCTGTCTCGAATTCTCTCAGGTCCATCTGAGCACAAACAGGAGGAGGTGGGAGGTAACTAAGTACATGTATTCAAGTACTTTACATAAGAACAACTTTGAGGTACTTGTACTCCACTACATATATTTAATACACTGTAAAAAAAGATCCTAATTTTACAGGAAATAACTGTACATTTTTATAGTAATTATCATGTTTTTTTAAATAACTTGCAAAATTATGTAAAATGACAGATATTAACTATAAATTAACAACCCAAAACATTATTTTAAGTATTTTGACAATAACTACAAATAACATTTGTTTCATTTTTTTTAAGTAAATGTACTATATAATATTTACAGTATTTTTGCACTTTCAGAAAATACATGCATGTTGTGCCAAAAGTGTTAGTCAGTCATGTTTCATGTTGTTATTCTTGTATTGTCTTTCACTTCCTGTTTTGTCTTGTCACTCATTTGTCACGTCTCATTTCAGGTTCCTTGAATGCCTTTCCTAATGTATTCTCCCGCTCTCATCAGCCCCGCCCCTGATTGTTTTCACCTGTGCCCAGTTATCTCCTGTTTATATTCCCCTGTTTCCCTCTGTTTGTTGTCAGTTTGTCTTCCGCCCTCATGCCAGAACTCTGCTCATCCACGATTGCTAATCTTGTCACTTGCTTAAATGATGCTCCTGAAACTCTGTCGTAAGTTTCTGTCCTCACGTTGTGAGTGATTTACGTTAAGCCTTTTTTGTCGCCTCTATTAAGAGTGTTGTTTTCTTTTTGTACTTCCTTTTTTGGCAAATAAAGTATATTAATTATACTTTAGCTCTGGCTCCCGGGTCGTGCATTTGAGTCCTTATCCTTGTGTAACCAAGTTCTTAACAGAACGAACTGACCACAATGGACTCAGCCGACCCAAAAACTCTTCACGCCGCCCTGTCAGCCCAAGGCTTCAGCTCCAGCTCCAAGTTTCCATCTCTGCACAGATACGACAGCTGACGGATCAGATGCAGCAGTTCATCACTCACCTTCAGACTGCTCCGCCGATGACGTCAGTCACAGCTGACCGCTTTCATGTCGCGGATCCTGTTGACGCTGTCAATCCGAGCCAGGCTGTTTCCTCCTCACTACGGCTGGCTCTCCCAGAGAGTTTCTCCGGAGATTCCATAAATTGCAGAGCTTTCGTGGTTCAGTGCGATCTGCATTTCCGACACTGAGCTATGTTACTCATTAACCGACTTTATAGACACTATGAGTCTATATTTTTTTACCACTCATCACCTGCTACAGAAGCTAGCCGAAGGCTACTTCAGATGCGCCAGCATAATCGCCAGGTAGTGGATTATGCTATCGTGTTTCGTACGGCAGCAGCGGGCAGCTGGCGGAATGTTCCGGCTCTTCGCGACGCTTTTCTGACGGGGCTGTCAGATCCAATCAAGGACCAGCTGGCTCCTCTGGAGGTACCATGGGACCTGGAGTCTCTCATCGCCGTTTCCATCCGGATCGACAACCGACTTCGAGAAAGAGAGAGAGAACGTCAACGCAACCGTGACAGACATCCCAGTTTCCAGGGCTTTTCTCAGCGAGCCGTTCCACCAGAGGAGGTTTTCCAGCCAGCGGATTCGGCCCGTTGGAGGACAGCACCTCCGTCTGTTGCAGATGAACCCATGCAGTTGGGAAGGACCAAGCTTTCCGTGGAGGAACGACAACGCCGGCTACGAGAAAGGTGTTGCTTCTACTGTGGCCAGCCGGGTCACCAACGTGCTTCATGTCCAGGAAAAGAGCAAGCTTACCAGCCAAGAGGAGGGCGCTGGTGAGCAAGCTTCCCACAGACTTTCCTCCTCGACCAGTTATGAAGGTAAACATTTTTATTAATGATCAGGTCATTGACCAAGGGGTGCTAATAGACTCGGGAGCGGATGAAAGTCTTATGGATTGGGGCATAGTCAAACAGCTTGGTATAAAAACTGTTCCTCTATCCCGCCCCATTAACGCCAGTGCTTTAGACGTTACAGTAACCCACTGCACAGAACCTATCCAGATTACTGTAGATAATAATCATACTGAAACTATGCAGTTTCACATTTTTGAATCTGCTCATCCTCAGATTATTCTGGGTTTTCCGTGGCTAAAGATCCACACCCCACACATTGACTGGCGCTCAGGAAAAATTAAGGAGTGGGGAGAGGATTGCATTAACAGGTGTAAACATTCACGCTCTGTTAAAGCACCAACAGGATCATCATAGATCACCCAGACTATCCTGACCTACAGAAAGTACCATCATGTTATCACGATCTAAAGGAAGCCTTTAACAAGTCTACAACTACATCTACAAAACCATCGGTTTGTTTTGTCATCAGCCCGGCTCAAACAAACGATTTTTAATCATCATCCTCACGATTATTTAACCTGTTAGACCCCAAGCCTGTTTTTCAGGTCTCAGGCTCCAAAATGACATTCCCTTGACTCGCGCGTCCACCCTTGTGTACAAGTCCTAGATCGTGCCTGAAGACCGTCCAAAAGCGATAACTAGCCTATCCTCTTGCGACACCACTACTCTATTCTAGTGGCGCTATGAACCCCCGACCAGGAGAACATAGACTTTTTTCCGCTACCCTTTCTCTCCAACAACAGCACAGTTAACTGTAGTCCTACTCGACCAGCCTATACACCCGCCATCGTGTTCATCACAACGATGAAACACAGCTTTGTTCTACACTTGCTTGCCACTGCCCACCCGTGATCAATTAGCCTATAATTGTTTGTATGCACCCCGGACCGCCACCAGTTCCTCCAGCAACGTAGGGAACGCTCCTCCACTTTACTGATATATTTCTTTAACCAGTTTAGCCCTGAGCCTGTGTTTCAGGTCTCAGGCTCGAAAATGACATTCCCAGAACAAATGACCATGATCTTCGAAAAGGGTTAAATGAATAATCTTTTTTCTCAAAGTAATGATAAACCTGTGAGTTGGATGTAGAAAAGTCAGAATCAATATAGATGTTTTTTATTTTAAAGAAAATTCAGATTCCTTCCTTCGATTCTATTGGCTCTACGGTCAGAAAGAGATGTCAATCACCAACATCGACCAATGGGTTCCAGAGAAACGGTAAAAACCCCCATTTCCACCCAAATCACCTCAGAGGTGGAGTTGTTTTGCTAAACCTCTCTAAAAAGTTCAAATGTCACTTGTTTTTGCATCAATCTCGATACAGGGCACTTATTATATGTTGTACTTTGGATTCCTAAAGCTTTTAGTCTACCTTACCATCATCCAAGGGTGGTTTTCACTATAAGTACAAAATAATATTTGGACGGACACAATAATTTACAGCTTTTTACTGTGTTCAATCTGAATTTACTTTAAAATAAAAACATCTATATTGATTCTGACTTTTCTGCATCCAACTCACAGGTCTATCATTACTTTGAGAAAAAGATTATTAATGTAACCCTTTTAGAAGGGAAGTTGTGGTCATTTGTTCTGGGGATGTCATTTTCGAGCCTGAGACCTGAAACACAGGCTCAGGGCTAAACAGGTTAAGGTATTTGATTGTAACATTTTAAGACAATGGATTTTAGTAGTAGTGTACTAACCCTAATCTCTCAGGATATATTTTTTCTTTTCTTTTCCCATTTTTTCAATACTGATAGGATTCATGGTTTCCACCGAACAGGAGGAGATTTACCTCTGAAGTGAAGTACAGTTTAAAGTAGCAGGGAATACTAAAACACCTTAAAGCAACCCTTAAAGTAACCTTTAAAGTAACCCTTAAGTAAAATCATAATTACATGTTACTCACAGATAGATTTTCTGAACAAACTGAGAGTGAACTTACTGCGTCTCTTCCTTCAACCTCAGCCCGGGTTTTCACACTTGGTAGATTTTTTAATCAGATTTATAGAGAGGAAGTCAGAGGAGAAGGAAGTCAGAACCTGTTTGGATCGTACCAACTGAAATCTTGATTTTCTGTCAAGTTGGAACAGTACAAATATGTAAGGGAGTCCCCCCCTCCAGTGAAGAACGGTTTGGTTTATAGTTTCCATCCAAAAAAACATTACTTATACAGAAACCCACCGTTGGATGATGGGATAGTAGACAAAAAGCTTTAGGAATCCAAACTATAACATATAATAAGTACCCTGTATCAAGATTGATGTAAAACAAGTGACATTTTACCTTTTTAGAGAGATTTACTGACAGTCAGGTACCTTGGTGATTTTGGTGAACTGAGTTGAGAGACACTTTCCTAAAGTACTCATTGGGCTTCATGTTGTTAACGTCTCCGACTGAAAGCTCTTTGCTCTGCTTGGAGACCAGGGGAAAGTAAAAAGTGACGCACACAGCTGGGAGACCAGGGGACACTAAAGAGTGACGCACACAGCTGGAGACCAGGGACACTAAAGAGTGACGCACACAGCTGGGAGACCAGGGGACACTAAAGAGTGACGCACACAGCTGGGAGACCAGGGGACACTAAAGAGTGACGCACACAGCTGGGAGACCAGGGGACACTAAAGAGTGACGCACACAGCTGGGAGACCAGGGGACACTAAAGGATGACGCACACAGCTGGGAGACCAGGGGACACTAAAGGATGACGCACACAGCTTGGAGACCAGGGGACACTAAAGAGTGACGCACACAGCTTGGAGACCAGGGGACACTAAAGAGTGACGCACACAGCTTGGAAACCAGGGGACACTAAAAAGTGACGCACACAGCTGGGAGACCAGGGGACACTAAAGAGTGATACACACAGCTGGGAGATCAGGGGAAACTAAAGAGTGATGCACACAGCTTGGAGACCAGGGGAAAGTAAAAAGTGACGCACACAGCTGGGAGACCAGGGGACAATAAAGAGTGACGCACACAGCTGGGAGACCAGGGGACACTAAAGAGTGACGCACACAGCTGGGAGACCAGGGGACACTAAAGAGTGACGCACACAGCTGGGAGACCAGGGGACACTAAAGAGTGACGCACACAGCTGGGAGACCAGGGGACACTAAAGGATGACGCACACAGCTTGGAGACCAGGGGACACTAAAGAGTGACGCACACAGCTTGGAGACCAGGGGACACTAAAGAGTGACGCACACAGCTGGGAGACCAGGGGACACTAAAGAGTGACGCACACAGCTGGGAGACCAGGGGACACTAAAGAGTGACGCACACAGCTTGGAAACCAGGGGACACTAAAGAGTGACGCACACAGCTGGGAGACCAGGGGACACTAAAGAGTGACACACACAGCTGGGAGATCAGGGGAAACTAAAGAGTGACGCACACAGCTGGGAGACCAGGGGACACTAAAGAGTGACGCACACAGCTGGGAGACCAGGGGACACTAAAGAGTGACGCACACAGCTGGGAGACCAGGGGACACTAAAGAGTGACACACACAGCTGGGAGACCAGGGGACACTAAAGAGTGACGCACACAGCTGGAGACCAGGGGACACTAAAGAGTGACGCACACAGCTGGGACTGGAGCGCTTGGTGACGGTCAGGATTATAAAGCTGAATTGGTTATTTAGCTGAACTTTCTGCTAATAGCACAAAGTCGCCTTCAAAATAACAGCATGTTTATATAAAACAGGAAGTTACGTTAAGACATGAATACAATTGCAATGAAAGCAACAAAAACAACTCCTTTTGAGGTTCAAAGAACACACATTGGGTTATTTACATAAACTATTCATATTGCAAATACACGTTTTAACCAGGAAGGGAATACGGACATGGACATGACGCATGTGATCTGCAGTATCACAATATATCGCAATACTTAGCATATCGTAGAATCGCAATACTATCGTATCGTGGCTTAAGTATCGCGATAGTATGGTATCGTGGGGAGTCTGGTGATTCCCAGCCCTACTAAGTAGAGTGCTTGAGTCCATGAGTAAACCACCATTGGGGTCTCCTGTTGTACCTCTTGAATGCAGCACGTTGGCAAACATAGTGGATCTGCCCATTGATTGTTAAATCAACTTTGAATGGCTTCCTTGTTTGACTCTTCAGCCAGGATTCTTGATAATCAGGCTGGGTGTTTTTCCGTTGTCGTGCAACAAAGACAAAGCAGTCCGAGCACATTTTCTACCTGAGGGAGTTTCCAGGTGGAGTCAAAAAAAAAAACGTTAGAAATCTTCCTGGTCCATCTCGCTGAAAATGATGATAATAATAATAATATATGATAAATAATATTTCTTGTGTGTGTGTGTGTGTGTGTGTGTGTGTGTGTGTGTGTGTGTGTGTGTGTGTTGTGTGTGTGTGTGTGTGTGTGTGTGTGGTGTGTGTGTGTGTGTGTGTGTGTGTGTGTGTGTGTGTGTGTGTGTGTGTGTGTGTGTGTGTGTGTTGCAGGTTTCTTCTTCTCAGTCACTGCTCCTGAGTCAGCTGCAGGTTTGGTCCCTGTGAAAGAAGAGGCTCTAAATATTCACATCATCAGGGCCCGGGAGTTCAACACTTTTAATCCAAATCTGATCAGATCAGATTTGGATTTTGGGGAGTTCAAAACCAAAAAACAGGATTAGGATCACTTTGATATCCGATCAGATCAGGAAATCCAATCCAAACTTTAATCTGGATCAAATCTTCAAAACGGGTAGTTTTGAAGATTAAAAATATCTTCAACAAAAAAAAAGTCCATCATCTGTCATCACCTTTCAAAAGTAATTGCGGACAATAGATGTCTCTGCAATGTGGTCTCTTGTCTTCCTTGTATTATTTTTCATGTCCACTAGATGGCACTCGGTGGGATTAAAGCACTGATATTCAGGATCTAGTCATCTTGAAAAATCGTAATCTGGATCAGGCTGATCCTATCCTGAATTGCTTTGAACTCCAGGGACAACATTTGGCTGGCACGCCTGAAGCTGGCACGCCTGAAGCTGGCACGCTTGAAGCTGGCACGCCTGAAGCTGGCACGCCTGAAGCTGGCACGCCTGAAGCTGGCACGCCTGAAGCTGGTACACAACGCACGTATGAGCACATCACACCTATTCTGGCTTCCCTCCAGAGTTCATTTTAAGATGTTATTGTTTGTTTTTAAATCTCTTAATGGGCTGGCCCCTCAGTACATCTCAGACGTGCTCTATTGTCTGTCCAGAGCCTTTATGTGCCTTCTATCTATTCTTGTGATATTAAATATTGTTATGATGTTATGTTCGTTGTGAAGCACTTTGGCAAACCCTCTGTTCTTAAAATGTGCTATAGAAATAAAGTGGATTGGATAGGAGAGGACTCTTTAAAGTAGAGACACTACATACTGATATACACCTGAACATCAGCAGGAGAGGACTCTTTAAAGTAGAGACACTACATACTGATATACACCTGAACATCAGCAGGAGAGGACTCTTTAAAGTAGAGACACTACATACTGATATACACCTGAACATCAGCAGGAGAGGACTCTTTAAAGTAGAGACACTACATACTGATATACAGCTGAACATCAGCAGGAGAGGACTCTTTAAAGTAGAGACACTACATACTGATATACACCTGAACATCAGCAGGAGAGGACTCTTTAAAGTAGAGACACTACATACTGATATACACCTGAACATCAGCAGGAGAGGACTCTTTAAAGTAGAGACACTACATAGTGATATACATCTGAACATCAGCAGGAGAGGACTCTTTAAAGTAGAGACACTACAGACTGATATACACCTGAACATCAGCAGGAGAGGACTCTTTAAAGTAGAGACACTACATACTGATATACACCTGAACATCAGCAGGAGAGGACTCTTTAAAGTAGAGACACTACATACTGATATACACCTGAACATCAGCAGGAGAGGACTCTTTAAAGTAGAGACACTACATAGTGATATACATCTGAACATCAGCAGGAGAGGACTCTTTAAAGTAGAGACACTACAGACTGATATACACCTGAACATCAGCAGGAGAGGACTCTTTAAAGTAGAGACACTACATACTGATATACACCTGAACATCAGCAGGAGAGGACTCTTTAAAGTAGAGACACTACATACTGATATACACCTGAACATCAGCAGGAGAGGACTCTTTAAAGTAGAGACACTACATACTGATATACACCTGAACATCAGCAGGAGAGGACTCTTTAAAGTAGAGACACTACAGACTGATATACACCTGAACATCAGCAGGAGAGGACTCTTTAAAGTAGAGACACTACATACTGATATACACCTGAACATCAGCAGGAGAGGACTCTTTAAAGTAGAGACACTACATACTGATATACACCTGAACATCAGCAGGAGAGGACTCTTTAAAGTAGAGACACTACATACTGATATACACCTGAACATCAGCAGGAGAGGACTCTTTAAAGTAGAGACACTACATAGTGATATACATCTGAACATCAGCAGGAGAGGACTCTTTAAAGTAGAGACACTACATACTGATATACACCTGAACATCAGCAGGAGAGGACTCTTTAAAGTAGAGACACTACAGACTGATATACACCTGAACATCAGCAGGAGAGGACTCTTTAAAGTAGAGACACTACATACTGATATACACCTGAACATCAGCAGGAGAGGACTCTTTAAAGTAGAGACACTACATACTGATATACACCTGAACATCAGCAGGAGAGGACTCTTTAAAGTAGAGACACTACAGACTGATATACACCTGAACATCAGCAGGAGAGGACTCTTTAAAGTAGAGACACTACATAGTGATATACATCTGAACATCAGCAGGAGAGGACTCTTTAAAGTAGAGACACTACATACTGATATACACCTGAACATCAGCAGGAGAGGGACTCTTTAAAGTAGAGACACTACATACTGATATACACCTGAACATCAGCAGGAGAGGACTCTTTAAAGTAGAGACACTACATACTGATATACACCTGAACATCAGCAGGAGAGGACTCTTTAAAGTAGAGACACTGCATACTGATATACACCTGAACATCAGCAGGAGAGGACTCTTTAAAGTAGAGACACTGCATACTGATATACACCTGAACATCAGCAGGAGAG